TCAACTAAACTGCACAGTTTATTCAGGCTTCCCAGGTGGCTAAGTGGTAAAGAATCTGCCTGTCAATGCATGAGACAGGGGTTCAACCCCTGGGTCAGGAAGAGCCCCTGAAGAAGGAATGGGGTATTCCAGTATTCTTGCCTGGAAAACTTCACTGGACAGAGGAGCCTGGTGGGCTATAGTTCAAAGGGTGGCAGAGAGTCGGATGAGGCTGAGCATGCATGCATGCCACTTTATTCAGATTTCACACGCTTTTTCTTCATGTCCTTTCTCTGTTCTAGGATCCATGTTACCATGTCTCCTTACCTTTATCTGGTCTGTGAGAGTTCCTCAGACTTGGCTGGTCTTTGTGGCCTTGTTAGTTTCAAGGACTGCTGGTTAGGTCCTCAATTTGGGTTTGTCCGGGGTTTTTCTCATGGTTAGACTGGGCTTATAGGTTTTCCAGGGGAAAACCACAGAGGTAAATGGCCATTCTCATCCCATCTTATCAGGAGAGCATGCTATCAATGTGACTTGTCACTGATGATGTAATTTTGATGGCCAAGACCATATTTGCCAGGTTTTCTCCCTGTCCTCTTTCTAGAGGGAAATTACAGTCATCAGCTCACACTTAAGAAGTGGGGAGATATGCCCCACCTCCCTGAGAGGAGAGTGAAAGTGAAGTCGCTCAGTCGTGTCCGACTCTTTGCGACTCCATGGACTGTAGCCTGCCAGGCTCCTCTGTCCATGGAATTTTCCAGGCAAGAGTACTGGAGTGGGTTGCCATTCCCTTCTCCAGGGGATCTTCCTGACCCAGGGATTGAACCCAGGTCTCCCACATTGCAGGCAGACGCTTTACCGTCTGAGCCACCAGGGAAATAGCTCCATACATTACTTGGAATTCTGTGCTGGAGATCTGTCCCTATTTGTTTACTTAATTTGTTACCATTTGGCTGCACTGGGTGTTAGTTGTGGCGCTTGGGATCTTTATTGGGTCACGTGGGATCTTTCGTTGTGGTTCATGTGCTTAGCTGCTCCGAGGCATATGGGATCTTAGTTCCCAGACCAGGGATCAAACCCATGTTCCCTGCTGGATTCTTAACCACTGGACCACCAGGTAAGTCTCCCTATTTGTTTACTTATATCAGTATAGTTCTTCGTTGTTGTTTAGTCGCTAACTCGTGTCCAACTCTGTGCAACCCCGTGGACTGTAGCCCACCAGGCTCCTCTGTCCATGGGATTTCCCAGGCAAGAATACTGGAGTGGGTTGCCATTTCCTTCTCCAGGGGATCTTCCCGACCCAGGAATTGAACCTGCATCTCCAGCACTGGCAGGCGGATTCTTTACCACTGTGGCCCCAGGAAAGTCGTATCTGTATATGAGTGTTTATCAGTGTGCTGTGGTCACAACTCCATCATTTTTAGTTGCTCTGACTCCTCCAGCTTTGCTATTGGGATCTCTCTCTTCTGGGTTCCTGTGTTTCAAGCTGATCATCTTGTACATTTCCCACCCTAGTCCTAGAATAAGTTGTTTCTCCAAGGAGCCCTGGTTCTTTTTATTATAGAATAAACAGAAAAACCAAGATCTGGGCATGGAGTGGGTTGTTCTGTTTTGCTGGCTGCTTCCTAATGAGATAATGTTGACTGCAAACTCAGCAGCAGAAAACCTAACCCTGCAGCGACTCCAAGAAACAAATCGTCTTCACTGTCAGCAGTTTATTAGGTTTGTGTTCTGGTTTGGAAAAGTCAATGTCATTAGGCTCTGCAAATATTTGAAGAACACAGCATGTTCTGGGCAACTCAGAGGGCATAAGCTAAGCTGGAACTACTCTAGTGAATGCATCAGAAAGACACTTTTCCTGAAATAGTCTTTGTTAGGTTACCTTCTAGAGTTTTCTGTCCTCTGAAACAGACTGGTTAAATCTCATCTGATTACAATGCTAGGGCTCAGTACGTTTCATGGAAAATTTTGACCTGCAAATAGGGGTCGCAGCTTGTAACCAACACTATACCTAATTTTGAGTTGCATGTTTTCCTTTCTGGGCAATGCTGGAACCAGTCTTTTTTTTTTTTTTTAAGAAGCAAGCTGGAAGGCAAGGAGCATTTTCATACTGGAAGCAAGGATCAGATTGGCGAAGGCTAAGAGTCAAATTGAGAGACTTGAGGGAGATAAAGAAAGGAAGCATAGATCCATGTGGTATTTCTTCTCCTTAAACCTGTGATTGCTGAGGCCCAGATCAGACTGAGAGTATTCAGTTACTTTGCTCTAGAACGGCAACCCACTCCAGTAATCTGGCCCAGAAAATTCTACAGACAGGGGAGCCTGGTGGGCTACAGTCCATGGTGTCATAAAGAGTCGGACACGACTGAGCGACTAAACAGAAAGACCCAACCTAGGCTGGAGGTGCATGGGGCTGAAAACTCTGAAGAAGCACCTCGGTGGCACCTGGCCTTGACAGGGGCTTGTAGGGTGTGCTTGGCACAGATGGGTACTGCGTGGAGAAGAGAGGGGCTTACTAGTACCAAGTTAAACCACACTGTGAATTTTAGAAATGATGTATCAATACTTGCAATGGAACTTTTATTCTATCTTGTATTTTTCAACATCTGGGGAAATATTCCATTTGATTTTCAAGGTTGATGGACGTACTATCATTCAATCCTATTGCCTGATGCTAGTACTTCCATTGCATATTTGACAAGAAGAGAAAAATACTTCCTTATATCTTAACAACAAGCCTCCCTCCTGAAGCTCTATTAGAGATCTGTCAAGCCTTACTGCTTTGCTTTCAAGGGACCAGAACTAGAGTCACCTGCTCAGGGTACTCATGGCAGTGTCTCCGGTCATATGGATGCACTCAGTATCTTGAGGCCTGAGGTTGGACTTCCTCCTCCAGGGGCTACTGGCCCTCTCCTCCAGGGCAGTGGAAAGCCTCCAGGTAGACATTATCGGTGCGAGAAGCTTGTGGGGGGAATTAACCTTGGTCGCAGGTGCTCGCTCACACCTTCCTTCTGACATGCAGTTACCCCCTTCTATTTCCTCAGTTTGTTATCATTTAAAAGCCACTTTACAGTTATTTTGCAAGGCACAGAGAGACTGCATTATCTCATACTCAAATAATCATTGGTTACAAACTAAGTAAAGCCTGCCTATGACTTTCCTGGAAGCTTAATTTTTTTTTTAGCAGAATGCAGCCTAGAGAGCTCACTCCAGCCAGTGAGGAAAGCCTGGATAGCTTATCCTCCGTAAGTCCTGATCAAGTCCAGAGTTGGGTGATATTCACTTAGCACTTAATGTTTTGTAGCTGTGGGAAATATTTGGAAGGAGGGACGATCTAGCTACCAGTCAAGAAGAGGAACTGAGGCCCAGCGCTGTGCTCAGTGTGGTTATGAAGGTGTCCGGTGCAATTGCCACCACACCTCGGCTGTAGGCGTGAATGCCTGACTGGTAACCGGCTTTGCAGTGGGAAGAGATGGCAGGGCCACTTGTCCAGGCCACTCAGTAATAAAGCCTCTGAGCCCTGAGTTGTTAGATCTAAGGAAGTATTTTTCCCTTCTTGTCAAATATGCAGTGGAAGTACTGGCATCAAGCAATAGGATTAAATGATAGTACGTCCGTCATCCTTAAAAATCAAATGGAATATTTTCCCAGATGTTGAAAAATACAAGATAGAATAAAAGTTCCATTGCATTTATAAAAGTGAAACATGTTTATAATAGATCCACCAAGGTGCTTTTTGATGAATTTCAACATGACATGGTAATAAAGTGAAGTCGCTCAGTCATGTCCGACTCTTCGCGACCCCGTGGACTGTAGCCCACCAGGCTCCTCTATCCATGGGATTCTCCAGGCAAGAATACTGGAGTGGGTTGCCATTTCCTTCTCCATGGTAATAGGACCAGTCTAATTCCATGAAACTTAATTTACCCAAAGCCTGAATGTTATTATGGGCTTCCCAGGTGGTGCCAGTGGAAAGGGACACACCTGCCAATGCAGGAGACGTGGTTCGATCCCTGGGTTGGGAAGATGCCCTGGAGGAGGAAAGGGCAGCCCGCTCCAGTATTCTTGCCTGGAAAATTCCATGGACGGAGGAGCCCATATTCTAAAACTTCAGAGCTCTGTTTGTGTTGTTGTATCGTGTCCAACACTTCGAAACCCCATGGACTATGGCCCGCCAAGGCGCCTCTGCCCAGGGGATTTCCCAGCAAGAGTACTGGAGTGAGTTGCCATTTCCTTCTCCAGGGGATCTTCCTGACCCAGGGATCTAACTCGAGTCTCTTGTATCTCCTGCATTGGCAGGCAGATTCTTCACTGCTGAGCCACCAGCGAATGACTGCAATTCACTTTATAATGTATTCACTTTCATCTTAGAGAAGAATCACATCTTAAGAAAAGCAGAGAAGTATTTTATGAAATTGGCATTTAATTTGGCCAAATGTTAGACAAATTGGCCTTTGTCTAACACTCTCTTCCAAAGTTATATCATTACATTTTTAAATTCAGTTTTTCTATCGATTATACCTACCTAAAGCTTAAAAAGTTAGTCCCCTAAGGGCTGGCCGCCAGTAGTAGCTTTTCTCCCAGCCTGCCCCACCCCTTCTCCTACTCCCAGATCTGATTCAGTGGAGTTCTGCATGCATCCAGATACTTTCAGATCACTTTTTATTATTTGGTTAAAGTTGTAAAAATTATGTTAATACACATGTTCACCCTGAACTGAGTTGTTCAGCAGCCTATGTAAACTTTCCACATTGGTATGGCTACGTGCTCAGATGCCTGCCTCCCACCTGGGTCTCCCTGCCAGGCTCCCTGTGGGGCAGGTGTGATGAATGGGCCAGGGTCTTACCTGTGTCAGGTAAGAAGAGAGCAAGGCAGTGGCACTTGAGGACCCATGTGCCAGCCCCCCAGTTGGGCACGTTCACTTTCCTAGCTCCTCGGGGACCATGTAATACCTGTCACATTTCACTCCTTTACACCTTTTTCTAATAATACCTTGCTTCCTGCCCTTTCTCCCCTGGCAGCTCTGTTTTGTGATGTTCTGGACTCCCAACGTTTCCGAGAAGATTCTGATAGACATCATCGGCGTGGACTTTGCCTTTGCAGAACTCTGCGTTGTTCCCTTGCGTATCTTCTCCTTCTTCCCGGTTCCAGGTAAAGGAAAACAGAATGAAAGAAAAATTCCTAATCACTCTCACACCCAATTCAGTTTTCTTTCTTTAGAAACATTACCAGTTCTGTGCCAAACAAAATAAATGTATGCACTGTTAAGTTTCACGGTGGATTGAAAAGATGCAAGGATATTACCCGGCGGGTTGAAAGTTTGAGAAGCGAGTCGAACAGGCATGATTTGTTTCTTAAAGGACAGTGGTTGCAGACTCAGTAGAAAGAACGTGAAGGGACAGCATGAGTCGTTTCAGGGGCAGTAGAACCATTCCCTGTCTTCACTGTGGCTACTGGTGACACAAATCTATGCACCTATTGAGATTCTAAAAGGACTGCTGGAGAAAAGAATCCAGGGGCAAAGCTGTGGTCAGAAATGGGCCGTGGGGCCAGTCGACACCGGGGCTGATGGCTCACCTGCCATCCTGAGCTGTTTCCAAGTCAGACCAGGAACTGCCCCTGCTCCTAGATGTCAAGCATTCCTGGCGGCTGCCTGGGATGTTGCCTGGTCTTTGGGGTTGGGGCGGGACACTGAGGGACCCGAGGGTTGGCACCACCTGGAGATCAAGGCAGGAGCTGTTGACTGGACTCCCCAGTCTGGAACTGAGGAGGGGCTGGAGGTCCCTAGGAGCTAGGACTGGGGTAGGACTCTGAATCGCCTCTTCATGCCCCATCCTCGTCTGTCAAACCAAGGGCTTGAAGACAGCCGACTCCACCTATCTTTGCAACCTGCTGGCTTTGGGCCCGTCAGGTTAGCATCCCGCCTGTGCAGCCAAACCCAAGTGAATGCCTGTACCTCAAAATTCAACTCTTTCACCGGGAGCTGGAGGAGCACAGCGTCAGACTGCAAATTCTTCCTCCAAACTGGACACAAGCGTTTACCCTAGGAGTGAGCGCTTCCTCCCCCTCCATAGGTCTGTGCCTCCTGCTGTCCCTGCGTGGGATAAAGGACCAGACCTCCTCTTTCCTCAAACCCCACCCAGTTTCAGATCAAACCTAGAGGTCTGCCAAAGTCTGTCTAGTCAAAGCTATGGTTTTTCCAGTAGTCCTGTATGGATGTGAGAGTTGGTTCATAAAGAAAGCTGAGCACTGAAGAATTGATGCTTTTGACCTGTGGTGTCGGAGAAAACTCTTGAGAGTCCCTTGGACTGCAAGGAGATCAAACCAGTCCATCCTATAGGAAATCAGTCCTGAATATTCATTGAAAGGACTGATGCTGAAATTGAAATTCCAATACTTTGGCCCCCTGATGCGAAGAACCGATTCATTGGAAAAGACCTTGATGCTGGGAAAGAAGGCAGGAGAAGGGGACAACAGAGGATGAGATGGTTGGATGGCATCACCGACTCAATGGACATGAGTCGAGTAAACTGTGGACATGAGTTTGAGTAAACTCCGGGAGTTGGTGATGGACACTGTGGCCTGGCGTGCTGCAATCCATGGGGTCGCAGAGTCGGACACGACTGAGCAACTAAACTGAAATGTCTACCAAGATCAACTGGTTGTCACTGACACACCCTCCGTGGAGCCCCTCCTGGGCACTAGGGCCAGTGCCCTGCCTGCGCTCCCGAAACTCACAGATCAGGCTGGGGAGGTGGGGTACGGGGAACCTGCTGTGAGGTCTTTGTGAGGCGTGGACAGATGGAGCAGGCCTCAGCCCACGCTCTGGAGGCTGGGAAAGAAACCCGGAAGTGAGCCGGGCCTCCTCCTTAGCCCCGCCCCTTCTTCGCCCCGCCCACATGCGCTGGGAAACCCGGTGTCCACTCCAGCTTCCCGGCTCGGGAAGTCAAGTCGCCGCTCTTCTCTGAGTTTTCCGAGACAGGCGTGATGGGAGCCTGAGGCTGGGTGGGGATGAGGGGGTGGGAGCACCACCCCTCCATCCCCCAACCCCGGCCCAGGGGTGGTGATCACAGTGGGAAAAGGACACTTAAAGGACTATGCTGCGGTCGGAGCGGGGTCGGGGGCGGGGCTCCTCCAAACCCAGAGGATCAGGAACCCGGCAGGAAGGTGGGCCCAGGGCGGCAGCCGCAGGACCTTGGTCCCACCCAGCCGCTCCGGGGACCCGGGATGTGCTGCCACGGTTGGGCTCGGGGGGGTGGGGGGGACATTGCTGACCAGTTCTTGGCTCTCCCTCCAGTCACCGTGAGGGCCCATCTGACCGGGTGGCTGATGACCCTGAAAAAGACCTTCGTCCTGGCGCCCAGCTCCGTGCTGCGGATCATTGTTCTCATCACCAGCCTCGTGGTCCTGCCCTACCTGGGGTACGTGTGAAGGTGGGGCGGGGGGGGGGGGGGGAGGGTGGCAGTGAGCCATGGGATCCTGCTGCCACCGAGGCACTCTGTCCAGAAGATCAAATCAGCTTTTTTTCATGGGAAATCCCCAAGCGTGTCTCGAGTTAGAAATGCTGAGGGATGCCTCGTTTCTCTGCCAGGGGGACCAGGTTAGAGGCCGTTGAGATCCATTCTAGAAAAGCACTTTCGGGGGTCAGGCCCACCCACACACGGTCAGCACTGAGCATCCACTGTGGTGTGGCGGGCAGGAGCAAGGTGAAAAAGGCAAGGGAGTGAGCAAGGGTGTTGCCCTTGTTCTCAGGGATCCCCACTCTCCTGGGACCCCGTCTATTGGGAAACTGCACTCTACAGGGAGGAGGGGTGGGATGCTGCAGGCGCACGGGGGCCGGGCGGGGAGATGTGCCCTTCCCACAGCAGATGCTGAGCTGAGACCTGGAGCAGGAGTGGGAGTCTCAGGGCCCGGAGGGGGTCCCAGGGCGCTCTCCCACCCAGGTGGAATATTTATTAGGTGCACTGCTAACAGGCGGATCTCGAAGGCAATCGTCCGACCCCATCTGTCGCCTACACCTTTTCTGGGTTTTGGCTGAGTTTTGGTTCTCTGTGCCTCCGCGGAGCTGTAACAGACAAATGCCCTTTGCGTTCTCGTTCCCAGGGTACACGGAGCCACCCTGGGCGTGGGCTCCCTCCTCGCGGGGTTTGTGGGAGAATCCACCATGGTCGCCATAGCAGCGTGCTACGTCTATCGGAAACAGGTGAGAGGGCAACAGAATCGCACCCCGGCCTGGCTCGCCCCTGGTGTAGGAGGCTGCCCGTGGCCATGAGGAGGAGGAGAGGGGAGGGCATCGGGAGGTGGCGTCCTCGGGCAGTGCCAGGTCTCCATAGACGATGGGAGGGGAGATGGGAGACAGGAAGCCCCCCACCCGCGCCGGTGCCTCACACTGACCCAGGCACACAGCCAAGTCCTGAGCACCCCGCTGAAAGGAGCACCCGCGGACCTAAAACTGCAGGCTTGACGAGGTCGCCCCCAACCATAAACAAAATCCAAGTCCATGGCGAGGGGTCCCCTGAGACCTCTGCCACGCTGTGTCTCCCGGCCCCAGCCCCAGCCCCCGCTGATGCGTCTTCTCTGGTCTAGAAAAAGAAGATGGAGAACGAGTCGGCCGCCGAGGGGGAGGACTCGGCGATGACGGACATACCTCCAGCGGAGGAGGGCACGGACATCGTGGAGATGCGGGAGGAGCAGGAATGAGGCCGACCCCCGACCCCCGACCCCCGGGCGGGCGCCGCAGGAACAGCCCGGGTGATGCCCCAGCGCCGCCATCTGCTCCTCCCCGACGTGTTTTCTTCCACTTTTTTTTTTTTTTTGGTTTCTGTTTGGGTAACAAAAGAGGCCTTGATCTAAAAGGTTTCACGGACACTCTGGCATACCGGGTGTGCCCATGCTGATGAGGGGACCTGTGGAACGGTCTCACCACTGCTTTGTGGAAACAAAACAACTGACTTCATGCCCCCGCTTCATGAAAACCCCAAAGACATAGCCGCCTTGTAGTCGCCACCCCCCCGCCCCCGCCCGTCCTCGGACAATCTCCACTTGGAACCAAAGGACCGCGGCTGTGCCGTCCAGCGCCCCCTCGGCCACCACCGCCTGGCAGGCCGCAGGCTCACCCTGTCCCCTCGCATCGCTCAAGAATCACCAGGTGACCCCCCGGCTTTCTTTGATTGGCTTCCCGGTCACGTGGCTGTGCCAAGGGCTGTGGCCCAGAGGCCTCCCACCAAGGCGTCCTGAAACCGCCTGCCACACCTGGGCTGAGGGCGGGGTCCGGCTGCAGCCCGGGGTGGCCGTCCGCGCTGAGGAATGGATGTGCAAACGCGCTGGACCGATGGATGACCGGAAATAATCCCCGGCGGGAAGGTTAGAGGTGCCCCGGAAGCAGCACACCCACAACACGCCAACGACAGCCTTCACCTGGCCGCTTCGTGGACCTGCGTGTGCGCTCGCTGTCACACCAGCCGTGTACATACGAGAGCTGCCTTGTCAAAGTTGTCCCAAAGCCTGTCCCCCCATCACCGCGTCCCTGGGCATGAGTTTCCCCGAAGGCTTGTTTTTCACTCACCTTTCCTGAAGATGGCACTAAAGCGAGGGAGAAGGAGCATTCTAACTTTACATTTTAGTCTTTATAAAGTGAACTGAAGCTTTAAGTCATAATCTAGCATTCTAATGCCAGGTTGCTATGTCGTCGCTTTGGAAGTAGATTTATGACCTGGTTCTGCCATTGTTAGTCCTAACCCTGGGGTACAGGTAATTCCAAGTGTTCTTCTGTACTCGCCTCTCACGTCACATGAGACAGCAAGACATTTTATAAACAACAGCAAAGTCACTATGTGATATTCCCTGAAATGACACATTTGAAATCCATTCAGTGCAGTATATTTTTCTAAGTTTTGGAAAGCGGGTTTTTTCTTTAAAAAATTATGGACACGGTTCACTAAATTCTTGATTTAGTCAAAATTCCTAGACGGAAAGAACCTAAACACAAAAATATTTTAAAGATATAAATATATACTGTATATGTTATGTAATTTATTTTAGGCTATAATACATTTCCTATTTTCGCATTTTCAATAAAACGTCTCTAATACAATACGGTGATTGCCTGTGTGCTCAAAATACCTGCAGTGGAAACGTATTGTATTGATGAACAGTGTGTCTTGTTTGCAGCGGTTTTACACTCTGTCATTTGTATACAAATGTAAGGGTCGGTCAGTGACAAGAGAACTATTTTTCATTATGAGTAACAGGGGTGTAAATGGGTCAGCTGATGTAGACTGTAGTGGGAATAGAAATATACGCTCGCAGGGCAAAGAAGAAAAAGTCAAGCCTTTTGCGTTTATTGCTTTCAGTGCCATGTAATCATATCATTCCTCATAGAAAAAAAGAATGTAAGGGCTCAGAGTCAGCCATGAACATTCACAGGGTTCGTTCACACGTCTGGACACCCAGTGACCACTGGGGGACAAATTTTCATGGGCTTCCTCTGAGTGGTTTTTCCGCTTAGAATTAAGACGCATCACTTTGGGGTGGTTGCAGGGGGCAGATCTGAGAAGATGGGGGGGGGGTTGGAATCTAATTGTATCGGCTTTTTTAAAATACATGACTAGAAAATTAAACGGCAGTATTTTTTAACATGTGTGACTAGTATTTCATGCTTGTGGGGTTGGAACCTAAAGAGTACATTGGAAAAGCAAATCCGTCCCCTCCAGATCGGGGCAGACCAGCTAGAGTCTTCATTATGCAGCTAGAACACGGCATTATAACATCAGAGACATCTTCGGTGATAAGGAAGGACGGACTGTGGTGTTTTGTTAGCATTTCGGAAAACACAGGAAGGACGCCCAGACCCAGGCCACAATGATAGGGCAACAGTTGTGCAAATCTTTCTCCTGAGGTGCACGCCCCTTCCTCCATTTGCTTGGGCTGCTTAAGTCACTCATGTCACAGCTTGGGCTCCCAAGCACACACCTTAGCTTCTAAAGCAAAACCCACCGTCAGCAGGTTCTTCTGCAGCTGTTCTAACCAAGGCAGGAGAGGAATGGGAATGAGTCTCCTTCCCACATTTCAGGGGGACGGTGGGGCACCCCTTTGACTTGGCTCCCCCAAAGAAACATTCCCCCCGACACAGGTTTCTTTTCTCATGCACGCGACTCAGCTGACAGGGGGCGCCCTGCCTGGAGAGTCTCAGGTCAAGGATCATGAAAAGACCAGAAGTGGCTTTCTCAGTGGGGGACCCATGCCTCGTAGACACACAGCTTCTTTTATTTAGATGCTAAGAAGTGAGCATGGACCACTCACAGTGGTCTCCCCATCTTGAAGGCCTTCTCTGGGCCAGCTCAGGTCAAGAGCGGCTGGTCATGTGGCCTCTGCTTTCTGGGGGGGGGCACCGCTGAGGTCATTCTCGACGCATCTCGGTGGACTCCGAGCGGGACCTCAGCGTCCCTGGCATCGATGAAACAGCAAGATCTGAGCCAGGAGGAAGCCGTCCGGGCTTGCTCTAGCCAAGTCAGGATGGGGCGGGACCTGCCGGCCACCACTCAACTCAGGGCTCCCGGAGAGGTCTGCACACCTGGTTTGCACGATGGCTGGGGCCCCTCACCTGCTTGGCACTCTAATGTGGGCACGAAGGCCGCTGGTTTATGTCACCGTGTTTAAAAGCCAGGGGGTGCCCACTCAATGCCTGCCTCAGCTGCTCTTGTTCCAGAGTCCATCTTCTCGGTTTTGCATGTATGTTTTGTTTTGCTTTTTTTTTTTTAGCTCTAGCAGGTGATTTGGCTCTGGGAATGTCCAGAGACAGCCAATTACTCTCAGAAATTTTCAGCGTTGGTTTAAGATATGTCAAGTGGGACCATGTAAACATGGCTACAGTAGACTTTATCACTCCCTGAGTTCTCCCAATATATAACCACAGGAGGCCCATGAGGAGATAGGCCCAGGGGGTCCACTCTGGTCCAGCTCTACAGAGTAGTCCAGGGCACCTCCCAGCCAGGGGCCAGCTCTGTGGTCCTCCCAGCAGCCTTGTCTGGTCTCTCTTGGGGTTAGGATAATTACTGCATGTCCCTAACATCAGAGAGTTATTCAATGACACTTTAGAGCAAGAAGTGTAAAACTTAACGGCTTCCTACCCTCCTGACTCATCCTCCTCATTTGGGGGTCTTTTGGAAGGAAGGGGTAGGGAGAGATGCACATTTTTGTACCCTTAACTCCCAGAAACACATCTGTTTAAACGTTCAACAGTTCTCTGACCGGATTCTTTTTCTTACTTCAAACTGAAGTGGGAGAGAGACTGAGAAGTATTTATATTGTTGTATCAAATGACATTACCTTGAAAAAGATTTTCTTATATTTAAATATTTTTTTCTCCATCTGTAACTCTCTATGCAGACCAGTGCCTAAGACAGCATGAACTGGTATGTAACAATTACCCAGGTTTCTGGCTTCTTTTGCAGGTCCATGCGTGCTCAGTCGCTTCAGTCATACCCAACTCTTTGCAACCCTATGGACTGCAGCCTGCCTGGCTCCTCTGTCCATGGGATTCTCCAGGCAAGAATATGGAAATAGATTGCCATGTCCTCCTCCAGGGCATTTTCCTGACCCAGGGATCGAACCCATGTCTGTTATGTTTCCTGAGCCATCGGGGACGCCCCTTTGCAAGTGAGCTGACCTCTAAACTTAGGATGAAGTTTTCATCAATCAAAGCAATGCACGGTCCAGGAAAGGGGCTGTCATGTTCTAAGTTTGAAATCTTTTTTTATTGAAGAATATAACCGAAATTGCAAGAAGCAAGGCTTTATAGCTCGTGGCGATTTGTAAGTGTTGAGATGTCTGGGTTCACGTGTAGCCCATCCCTAAAAGTAGGCTCCTGCCAGCCCCTTCTGAGATGTGCACCCCCAAGCACGGCCCCCACTCAGCTATTTCATAAAGAGCACTTGAACAGTAGGAAAGCATGTTTTTGAGCAACGTGTCTGGTGAACATTCAGGATGCTCCTCAGGGGGATTATCTGGGGTCTCTATTTCTGTCCTTTGAAGCAGCAAAACATCACGTGACTCATCAGCTGATCTAACCACACATGAAACAGGATGTCGAGAAAAATCAAAGAAAAATACACGAAAAGACCCTTCTGCCCTTTTAAAGGGTAAATGTCTAAAATTAACTACCTAAATGTGCACAATGATAAACATGTAATTACATAATTAGAATAGCCCACACCGCACTCTGAAGTTAGAAAACATGTAGCGAATTACAGTTTGCTGTCTGATCTCACAAGGGAAGAGGAGATGGTGAGATCTCATTTGGACATTTCACTTTCTCCTCCAGACAGGAGGCTATTAAGATTGTCATCATCTCTCGTACTCTGAGCAAAGAAGAGCACCGAAGATGCATGTCCAAAGTCTATTTTTTTTTTTAAATCATCTTCATCCAGTCCAAGGGGTTCCAGAAGAATATTTTTTTTCTGCTTCGTTTGCAATCAAGCAGGGTCTCTGAAAGACCGTATAAGATCCATGCACTTTTATAAATAGCTGTCAGCTACCCACAGCTTCAGCTCATGTGTCTGTTTGGTGCCTCTTTTTAAATTAGGAGATTAACCTAAAGTGCACTTTACTAGCAAGATGTGGCCTCAGTGTCTGCAATCTGTGTATGTAAAACAGAACTCACAAGAGCCAGAATGCCTTTCTGTCTCCAGGATACATGGTTT